GCATCCCTCTCACCAGGACCAGCCTGCTGCACCTCTCAGCAGTGCTTTGTTTGAATGGGACAGGCTCTAACAGCTCCAATGCACCAAACAGACTCCCTGTGCAAACACRGGRGCAGGAGAGGAATGGCTCCGTCACAGCCAGGGCAGGGTGGCACTCTTCTTCCAGGGAGAGCTGGCAGCAGGCCAGCAGCTTTCTCCCTGCAGCTGGAATTGTGCGAGAGCAAAGGAAAGCAAAGCATCCCCATGAATGCCCCACATGTGAGGCACTCAGGAGCTCTTATGGCCTCTGTCCCTTGGTATGGAGTGGCATGGAGTGGCATGGCTGCCCCCAAGAAGGGACACGATGAAAGCTAAGAGTGGAGGAAAGCTACAGCCAAGACATCAAATGAACACTCAGGGCTTCAACAGGCTGGCAGCAGCCACATTGCYCACTGCCCTGTGGGATTCCCCACACTCTGGCCTTCACCAACCTGCCTGGCTCCCCTTTAGCTCCCAGCATAGCCCAGGCAGCAGCACAGCCTGAGCAGGGACGTAAAAAACCCGGTTCAAGGTTAGAACAAGAGAGCAAGGCAGTCCCCTGAGTGGGAAACGGCGATTTTCAAAGAGAGAGCTGGTGGGTGGGTCAGATRGAGAGGAGTCCTGACCCTTCCGCAATCTGTTGAACAAATRTTTGCTCCAAACAATTAATTTAGAGACAGACACAAAAAAATTGAAGAGTCTGAATTGTGATGGTTGGGGGTGGGGAACAGAGGGAGGAGGTATTTCATTCCCCACAAGCAGGGACCAGTGATTTTCCACCAGTGATTTAATCTAAATCCCCCAGAGAGTTCATTTACAAAAAATCAGATTGCATTATCGCCTAGGTCTCCAGGATACAGCCCAATCCGTCACTAACAGCAACAGCCACACTAGCTTGGAAACCTCAGTTTGATCACTCAATTCCAAGACTAATCTGTGGCTCTAAAAGCCAAAGACAGAGGGAGGGGGAAAGAACTCTGCATTTGGCCAGGGTTATCTGCAGGATGAGAGAGCTAATGGGCCAGACACAGCCAGATGAAATGGCCAGCAGATCCCGGGTTATTAATCGAAACCAAGCTCCTCTCCTTGCCTGAGCAGCCCCACCCAGGCAGTGCCCCAGGGCGGCCACATTCCTGGAATTCCTGCACCCTTCCTGAACCGGCTCTCTCTCCCTGGGTGCACCGGCTCCCCTTCTTCTCCGGGGTCCCCAGCATTGCTGGCCAGGCACAGGAAGCTGRGGGAGCCTTTTGTTTGCCAGGAGGGTGCAGAGCACAATGCTGAGCTCAGAGGCTCGTGTCCCTTTCCCAAAATGCTGGGGTCTGCTGATGGACCGTGTGCTGAAGAGGGCTGAGAGGCCTCAGCTCCCAGCAAGGAGGCACTTCCCCACTGTTTAGATGCCAATGCCTGACAGCATGAACTCTTTCCAGTGGGAACTGGGAAAGGTTACACCAGCAGGGAATCACTAAGATGCAGAAGCCAAATGAAAACTCAGACATCTGTAGGTCATATACCTCCCGCCGGCAGTCCCAGGCTGCACCGCACAGCCGGACCCGGCATTTCAAGAATGCTTCCTGAAGAAATGCTTATTCATGTTAATACCTCACCACTGAGAGCTCCCAGGGTTTGCTGCTGGGGCAGCTGGGAGCACTGCTCCCTGCCAAGGGAGAAGCAGCTGCAGGCTTAGCAGCTCCACAGCACAGAGGTTGCCCCTACCTCGGCCCTGGCTCCCACCTCACCAGCTCAGACAGTCCCAGAAGCCCACCCACCCACCGGGATCTGCTGTGGGATTCATTTCAGCATGACAAAGTGCTGTTTTCAGAATGAAGAAGTAGCTGTTACCTCAGCAAACCACCACCAGCCCACCACAACACTGCCTAGGAGAGGAGGAAGCTCTGCTCCCTGCTCTTAATGACACCGGGCTCTGCTTGAAGAACAAGCYTGGATGACATTAGAATTCCAAAGGCTCTTGGAAAAACAGGTCTTTTACATAACATCCAGAGGAAAAGAGAAAAAGCAGGGAAAAKATAGAGAAAAACRTATCTGAGCACAAATTGTTTGTATCATCATGGTGGGCTGACCCCCTTGGGACARAGTGTTAAGAGCACAGAGGGCAAGACCACACACCCCTTTATCCTCCCTGCAAGGGGTAAGGACAAGCTCTAGCACAAACATTGCAGGGAGCTCCRCTCCGGTCTGACCGGCCCCACTGCCAGCCTGGAGCGAGGGAGGGCATGGGCAGCCACCCCCACCACAGAGAGGTGTTCTTACCCATCCGCCATTCTCCTGGATCCAGGGATCTAAGTGGTCGGTCAAGTACGTGGTCATCCAAGACACGATGCGTTTCACCAATACCCGCATCTCCTTGACAACACTCTCCACGCACAAGGCTCCACCAAAAGAGAAGAAAGCCACGATGCGGCCCCAGTTCACTCCATCRCGGAACAGTTCGTTCACTACCTGCTCAAAGCTCTGATAYGCCGTGCTGGGAGTGATGTGGAGCTGGGAAGTGAGGTCGCTGAACGCCCGCCGGTACCTCAGCTCAAACTCATCCCCCGCCTCTCTCAGTGCCTGCCTCACGTCGGCTGCTCGACGGATCTCATGGACTTCGAGGCTGCTCCGGTGCACGGTGGCTCCGTTCACTATGTGGCTGGTGGGTGCGTGCCAGGAGGGGCTCCCATTGAGGACACCGTCCATGTCGTCCTCCTCCCCTGCAAAGTCAGTCCTGTTCTCATCCTCCTCCTCCAGCTGACTCCAGCTGTATCCCTTCTGTGAGAGCTTGTAGGAAACAAAGTCAATCACTAACTCCCGGTTACTGCTGGACATTTTCACACCTGGGACGCCCTCAATGAGTCCATGGTCYGGAGCACAAGCAGATCAGCACTTAGCAGGTCCCAACTCCACTCCTCTTCCTCACGACCGATGGGAACATCTGACCTTAGCACAGAGAAGGAGAGAGGCACCGAAACGGTTAATGCCACAGCTCTCAGATGCACCCGCGCCATTACCACCGATAGCTTATCGTTGCACTGAGATCACCCCGCAGCTCTACGCCGAGGCTCAGGGCCACCAGATTGAAGCCGTACGGAGAACCAACCACAACACCTCCCCCCTCCCCAGAAAACCAGCGTCGAGCCCCAGGAACCCCCAGGCTCGCGCCGAGCAGACCCCAGGTCTCACCGGGTGCGGGCTGCGCCTGGCAGGCCGGCTGCGGGCCGGGGCGGAGGCGGTTCTTCTTCTGGAGCTGCGGGTCGGCCCGGACCGAGAACAGCACCGCCCCCGCCCCGCCCGTTAAAGGGCCCGGCGCCCCCGCCCCCCTCCGCCGGCGTTACCCAACGGCTGCAGCGACGGCAGCGGGTGGGCAGCGCTGCCCAAGGATCACGGCAGCCCCAGGGGGGCCCGGTTTGACGGTAACCGCAGMCCCCGCCGCCCCAAAGCCCTTCGCTCCCCGCAGGCGAAAAGAATAAACCGGTGAAAACCGGCTAGCACTCGCCACCGGGGCTGCTGCCGCACGGCCCCGCGTCCTTACGGGAGCGATTCTGGTCAGTTACCGGCGCGCTGCCGCTGGGGCCGGGACGGCGTCACGCCGGGCAGCAGCAGGCGGGAGCGCCGCAGGGGATAGCCCGGCCACCGGACTGCCCCCACCACCACAGGACCGCTCCCCCCAGACCCCCGAAGCACGTCTCCCGGTCACCGGATCGCCCCCCCCAGGTCCCCGCACGGCCCCACCGGTCGCCGTACCTGGGGGGCGGGGCCGCGCACGAGGGCCGACACGGCGCCCGCGCGGMCCACACGCCGGCCAATCAGCGCCCGGGCCAGCGCTGAGGGGCGGGGACGCGGCAGCGCCCTCACGCTTTGGCTGGGCCGCGCGTCACTCAAGGTCTGCCCTACCCCGCCCCTCACCTCAGCGTCCGGCGGCGGATCAGCGTCCTTCCCGGTCCTGCCGCGCGGGCCCGGCTGGCAGCGACGCCGAGGGTCGCTGGGAGTCCCGCCGGYCCTCAGSCCGCTCAGCAGTCCCGGGGCTTCTTCCACATCGCCCGCCGAGCGGCCGGGGGGGTGCGGTAGAGTGGGAGGGGGCAGCAGGGGGCGGTGCGCATGCGCACGGCGCCTCGAGGCTGAGTGAGGAGCGTCGGTTGGACAGCGAGGGGGCGAGGTGCGCATGCACAGTGTCGGCGGGAGCAGTGCGCAGGCGCGAAGATGCCGGGCGGAGGGCRRGGCTCTGGYGCCCTCTGCCGGCCATGGCGGGGGCGGCTCCGGCCTCTACTCCCGCGGCGCCCTGAGGGCACGGTCCTATTGCTGACACGCCGCCGTCCCCTCACAGCAGTCCGGAACTGATGTGGGGGTTTTTGTGGCTCCACAGTGCTCAGGGAGCCCACAAGGGGCTGTGAGAGAAGGYTGATGCAGGCAATGCCGGAGCAGTGAAAGCGGCTGTGGCAGCCAGGGCCTGCCCCGCYGTTAGCAGCTTGCTGCCCATCCYTTTCCACGGCCACGGGGAAGATTATGCTGCACTTGGKGTSGGCRACGCCACTGTGCAAAGGGCACTTTTCCCTCGCAGCATCGGAAAACCTGGTCAGGGCTTACCAGGCGGTGGGAGCCGCCTTCCCCAGGCCYAGCAGTCAGAAGGGCTGATCTRCTGAGGRACACCGGGTGGAARCCGGGCAGCGGACACCGGTACAAMTGGGGTACCCAGCCCCGCGGCCGCCCCAGCTGACATCGATCCCGGGGACCCGCCCGCCGGAGGCTSATAGGCTGTTCGGAACGACACTCAAAGCCCCTCCTCTTCTGATTGGCCCAGTGTCGTCCCGCAGTGCGTTATGCGTGTTGTAGTTCGCTTCTCGCCCGGTCATTGTGGCGYTAGGCGAGCGCGTACTACATTTCCCGTCAGGCTTTGCAGGAAGAGCAAAATTGCGTTGGGGGGGCCCGCTTATCCGGGTCCTCAAGCGTCTCGACCAATCAGCGCACGKCAAGGGCGTGCACCGGGCGCTGATTGGTGGGTTCGGACGGCCGAACCGTGTTTGAATTTCGTTAACGGCGGCGGCAGAGGCGCCGCGCGGGGCGGTGGCGGTGCAGAGGTGAGTGTGGGGGCACTGGCTGGACACCCCCGGCCTCGTTCCTTCTTCCCTGCCCCGCAGCTCTTCCCCATATCCGCTCGGATTGCCCGGCCGTGGCGACGCGGCTGTTCTCYGGGCTTTCTCCGAGCCTAGGTATCGGTAACGGGGCCGAGGGCTCGGCTGGGAAACGCGGGAGGAACGCGGCTCAGGTCGCCCMTCCCGTGGCCAGAGCCGCTGTCGCGGTGCCTGGCGGGCGGGCGGGCTCGTAACGGAGCCCTGAGGGCTGATTTGTGAACCCCTTGTGCCCCGGGGGTCTTCCGTTCTCCAGGTTGGATCGCGTTACTGGAGCGCCAAGGCGTGTGCCTTACGGTGGGGTGGGTGCCTCGGGAGCGAAATAAAGTTATTTAAACAGTCTTTAAATAATTACGAAATCTGATGAAACGGTGTATTTCGCGATGAAAAGCTMTTATTTCTTTTTAGTCCTAATCCTGCTTCCCAGGAAAAGGACGGGAGCAAACCAGGCAAAACCTGGCTCAAGTGTAGAAAAAACATTAGGAGAGCTATTTTTGTGCAGGGCTTTTTTTAAACTAGAGGRCCTTCAACTTAATCTAACAATTAGTTGAGGCTATACTAGCTAAAAATACATTACTTTTCCTTGAACATCTATTCTTAGAATGTCTCATCTTCATGTCTTCTRAAACTTGTGGGATCTTTTTTAGGGAGCATGAGATGTCAGGGCTGTTTATTTTTGGGAATAGGGGTGAGTCTGGGCCGTTAGGAGAGCAAAAGCTGTGACAGCACTTCGCCCCTTCCCTTGGTTTTTGGTCAGGGTGGTCTGCGGGGCTCTCCTCTCACTGAGGAGAGTAAAGGCTTTGTSTCCTAATTTGAGCATTAAATGATGGAACAGCAGTGTTGCCTCAGTTCTGGAGGGTGGCRAATCAAGTGTTGATTTTGTGCTGCAGAAAAGCCCCGTTGAACTTTGAGTAAGGGGCACGAGAGAGGAGGGAGAGGCTGTAAATCCAGAGTGTAAGGGTTCACTTAACCCTGCTCAGGGAGAACTAAGGATGAAGGATGACTTTCTGCGACTGCTGGTATCATGCAGAGGAGTTCACTTGGTGGGTTTTTGGTGGGATGGTTCCTACATGGCTCTGGTGACAGGTCTAGGTTCAGAAGGGCAGTTTCCAGCCCTTTCTAATGCTCCAATTTACACATTAACCCTTGAAAAACATCCAGGATCTGTATGGATTATTATCCCAATACAAAGGATGGAAAACTCTGGGTTGCAGGACAATAAAGAAGCTGCCAGGCTGAATTAAAGCTGCCTGGTTAGTGCAGCATCCTCCTATGTTTAAGTGGCAGCTGCTGTTGAAGCCCAGCAGAAGGCCCTAGAATTGCTGGAGCACATTCCTATGCAGCTACCTCAGCCTTGGGGAAGTTTCTCTTGCTTATTCCTATTAGCCTGTCTTGGGTTCTGAGGCATGTGGATCAGCTGGCTTTGTGTTTATCTGCTGATGTAACTTAGAATAGCCTTCTCGTATGTCTGCTGTTGTTTTTTTCTGCTTTCTGATCCTGTTAGAATTTGCTATAAGTAACATCTGTAACTTGGGGCTCTGGTGGCATGTTGTGATAAGGCATCACCTCCAGTTCACCAGGGCCTTTTCTACATTGCAAGGTGGCAAGAAAGAGCAGATCTCTCTGCTTAGGATCTGGGTTAGTTGGGGTTGGAARAGACCTTAAAGCTCCCCTTGTTCAAACCCCACAAGGTTGGCAGAGACACCTTCCATTAGACCAACCCTGTCCAACCTGGCCTTGAATGCTTCCAGSAYGGGKCAGCCACAGCTTCTCTGGGCAACCCTTRCCAGAGCCTTAYCACCCTCTCAGGGAAGAATTTCTCCCYAATATCCATWCTAAATCTCTTMTCTTTTAGTTTGAAGTCRTTCTTACTTGTCCTGTCACAGCCTGTCTGTGTCCCTRTTGCTATCCTGTCTTTGCTACTCACCCAAACTCAAACTCTTCCATTCTCTCTCMCTCTGACCTTGATTTCTCWTCTTGGAACACTGCATCCTATCTCCARCAYYCCAGCCTGTATGGCTGGGAGGCTCCTTTGTCCAGGCTGTGGYTGCTGTTTCTGCTTTTGGCACAAAATTCACAGCTACATTGAGAAAAAGACMCTGAACACATCTGTGATGGAATTGTGTCAGTATTTTAAAGCTAATTTGGATTAGAGCGAGGTGTGAAGTTAATCCAAAATACCTATTGCACTTGCTGTTGGCTCAGTCTTATTCTGGGATAGGAATGCTTGTTCCAATTYAGTGTAATCCTTTTTCAAAGCTAGCTAATCTGAACCACACCAAGGCACTCTTCTGGAACGTGCCAAAGTGTAGTTGCTCAAAAGAAACCTGATGTCCAGAGGAACCCATTGCCTATTCCTCCATGTGGATACAGCTGTACTGCTCTGGAGGCACATTTAGGTCAGTGAGAGAGCAGAYCTWGAAAGAAAATTAAGGTTTGACTTAAGYAGTTGCTTTATAAAAGGAATTTGGGGAGTTTTTGCMAGTGAGACAATCAAKTCCTCCWTTCCTGCTCCAGCAGCTCWGCGAACCAGGTGAAARCTGATCCTGCAGAACGGGGGTGAGGGWTCCCCAGCTGGCTCGCTGCAGACACCCGTGTCGACACAGGAGGTGATGGATGTGGGGGAGAGCAGGGTCACACTTTAAATCCACGCCGAGCTGTGTAGGATTACACTGTGCCTGTAATCACGCTAGGGAAATGCACGCAGTGCCTGCTAATTAGGGAACGTCCCCATTAATGAGGAAAAATTTCCGCACCTCCCTTCTGGGGGATGAATGCCGCGGCGGAGAGAAAGAATTTTGGATTGAGATAAATGTGGTTGTGCTGTCAAAATCATGACTGGGTGTTTGAAAATGCCTGCAGGGAGTGGGCAGCGGGTGTCGGGCCGTGCTTGGCAGAACCTGTTGGGATTGCAGATGCCTTGTGGTGGGCACAGGAGAAAAATCACCGGAGCATTCTTGGCTGATCCCTGTCCTAGCTGAGTTGGTGGGCGGAGGAGCAGAATGCCTTTCAGTRAACTGCTGCTTCACTGTCAGTCCTGTTCCAGGCAGGACTTGAAGGATATGTAGGGATTTGAGAAGCRGATGCCATGAGTTCATCTGACTGAAACGGACTYTCTGGAGTTCAGTCACAATAACTTCTACCTCCCTGTTATTTCATTCAAGAAACAGAGTGTGAAACTGAGGCAATGATAAAATCCTTTTCCTGACTATTCTCTTCTGTCTAGGAGCGGGGGGAGAGGAGTCAGTGATGAGGTCGATGATAAGGGTGGTGACACTATGGAAGAATGTGGACTTTACACAGTGAAAAAAGCTGGAAGCTGCAGCAGTATAGCAGTGGGCACAAGTAGCTGTGAAACATGATGCCCAGAGCTCTGACTCTGACTAGAGAGGGTGAGGGGAGAATGCAGATGACGCATTTGATTTTTAAAAAAGCCTAAAGTGTTGACAGAAATTCTATCTTGATTAAGGGCAGTAGGAAAGCATTTGATTCCAGCCATGTCTCAAGCTCAGTTACAGTTGATTTTGGCTCCATTTCTTCTGTTTGCCTTCTTTGGGCCCTACCTTGACATCTCAGCCGTGTAGCTGCTGTRATGACATTCTTCCCTTTAACTATCACACTTCTGCTCTGGGAAGCTGGAGGCTTCTCAGTGCACCCATCCTCGGAGACCAGTGGTTGTGACCCTAAATGCTGATTTGCTTTACTCTTGACTGTTTTACTATTTCTTGAGAAACAGCATTTGGGTTTTGAACGATGTGTGGTCTGCCTAGACAGATGGTTTAGGACTGAGGCTCTGTGGATTGGGAAGATGCTGCTTTGGAATTGCTTGGGTTCATAAAAGCAAAGTTCAGGTGATTTCTTTGGGGAGTGTTTTATAACATYGTCATGGGCTTTGCCTCACAGCTGCTCAAGGCATCACAAAAGCACCTGTRCAAAAAGGTTTTGTTTTAATTTCAGGGTTTATAACTTTGTCACTGGCTTTATTCCTGTTCCATKGAGTTTAATATCACCTGTTGACACAGGGACTCCTCTTGCTGTCAGTGCTCCATTAATTAACTGCAGGGACTATTTGACACGGGTCAGAGTGCTCAGTTTGTTTATAGCCTGGCCAGCCTCGGGCTAGTGCTCTGGAATGCAGGAGGGCCTGACACTRCCCTCCTTCTGAGTGTTTGCCCAGTAACAATGCTCTACAGAACCCTCTTCCTRCTTTGAAAATCAATTTATTCTATAGAAGAGCACCTTCGTGTCATTAGTTCTTGTTTGTAGCCCTTCAGAGAGAGAGAGGCTGTGCTTTGCAGTGCTCTGGAGTGAATCTCATCAGCTTTGTAAATCCTGTAAGGGTAAGAACTCTTCTTTGTGTGAGGGAAGGAAGTGCAAATCAATTGCTCTCTGGAAAAGCTTTATACTTTACTTCCTCTTTAAAAATACAATTTTTGCACCTACAGGTACAAAGAAAACGCTCAAAAGTTGATCTTTCTGAGTTTTGAACCTGCAAATGTCAACAGTGGTGAAATTTCCCTAGCTTTGCAGATCAGCAGTAGAATAAAACTCTGCTCATGAGGAGGTCTGCCCAAAGGTGTGAAGTGCAGGAAGGGGGGATGTACCAAAGGCCGTCCCAGTGCCTGTCCCTAAAAACCCTGCAGAGGTGAGAGGTGATTCCACTGACACCGTGTTCTTGTCCAAAGGGCTGTAGCTGTGCAGGCAGAGAACTTGGGACAGTGTGACTGCGAAGATGTCTAGGCCACAATCCCGTTATTCCTTTGATGCCCCAAACATCTGCATCAACTTTGCGACTCTGAGTGAGGATGATGTACACAATGCAGACTCCTGGTTTGGTAAGTTGATTGCAATTCCTTTATTTGTTTCCTGGTTGGATGAGGACTTCGTGTGATCTTTGTTTTGGGGCTGGCTTCTGTGCCAATTGRTTAATCATGTTGTTAGCTGCATCATTCATCAAGCATGGGGTTTCTTTTGCTGTGGTTTTTTATATTTAAATTTTGTCATATGTAACTTGACTTTGTTAACCTTATAATGATATTTTGGGGTRTTGTTAACAATTCCTAACATAGTATGAATAGTGAAAATCTCTCTCTCCTTACAGACCAAAAGGCCAATYTGGAGAATATCCCTCCTGCAGAAAATCTGGCAAAGGTCTTTCAGAGCAGCCCTGCTTGTTCAAAGCCCGATGTTGTTCTGTCTTCTGTTCCGTCACAAGAAATAGCAAAGAGTAAGCTGGCGTGGAGTGGCTGGGAGGGAATAAATTTTACCTGCTTTTCACTGGCAAAAGGGAAAGGCCTCTCTCTGAATTTTGTGGGGCTATCTTCACAAACTGCTGCCTGCAAGGTCTCATATGGTTTTACATGTTCTGTATATGTGTATATAGATGAGCTGACACTTGTCCCCTTCTCAGGTGAAAGCGATGATGAAGCAGAATGTGCCCAGGCCAACACAGTCCCTCAGAATATTGTTGGGTCCTTGGCAACCTGGAGAGCTGCTGCCCCTGCAGAGGCCTCTCAGAGGTGAAATACTTCAGTTTGTGCAATGATTAATGACAGTGTAACTAAGCAGGTCCTTGCTGTCAGGATCTGCAGTTCTAGCTGTTCTTGGGGCATCCTGTGGGGTTGGAGTACTCTGGGATGGAGATTGTGTATTGGGACATCTGATCTGCTGGCTAAACTGGAGGGACAGTCTCTAGGGTGGAAATGTAATGCAGTGTCTCACATACTTGTCAAATGAGACTCAGCAGCACCAGGAGCCTCTGGAATGTGAGGACATCTGAAACTGAGGTGGCTTATAAAGTTTCTTTGTTTATATGTGCCTGACTTGGGCAGAACTCATTCTTGATATGAATACAAGGGGCTCTGCATGCTCATATGTAGCAAGAAATATTTAGTTTATGGATTGTTAAACTTTAATAAGTCATGCTGCATTTGGATTGTGGTTTTAAACACAATTTGCATGGTGGAGTTAGGGGATGCACTGACATAAAAAATGTTAGGCAGGTCATGTGTCTCCTCAGATTTGTGGGAAAACTGACCTCTGCTTTCTGTTCTACTCTAGAGCGAGCAGGAGATTGGCTGCAAAGCAGGGGAAAAGCCAGCAGCGCAAACAGCCAGGCAGAATCAAAGCAGAGAGAATTGCTAATKCCATGGATAATAAGGAAGAGGTTCCACCCTTGAAGAAAATGAGAATGTATGTCATCCAAGCCCTTCTGTTTAGGGCTGGGAAAAGGGATACAACTACTCTTTTGGCAAGGATTTCCACCTGACTGAGAAGGTTCTTACAGGGACGTTAGGGGCTGGTGACTGGAACTGGTTGCTGATGCTGGTTTCATAAACAAGAAATGGCGTAAATGCTGAAGGAGTTGATTTGTTTGGAGGTAGAGATGTGAATGAAGTAAGCATGGGCTTCTTCACCTTCTTACTCCTTACTCAGTRTCTGTCACGTACCTTTAAATTTGTCTGAACTTATCCATCAGGAAGTCATCAGGCAATCATTAGCTATGAAACAGTGACAGCTAAAACATTTCTCAAATTAACTTAACCACTAAAGTATCATATGGTGATAAGCTTGAGGTCAGGAAATTGAAGTGTGATCTTTGAAACACCACTGTATCTCAATGACCTACAGTATACCTCCCTTCTCCAGAAAAGTTCCAAAAGCTCAGTAATTCATCTTCCCTTCTGCAGCCTTAGAGTACCAGGGAAAACTCCTGGGCCTTGGGTGAGCTAAGGCCAGCCTGGCATACCTTAGACCTCACCAGGGGTTGGGATGTAATGCATGGTGGTAAAAACTGCASGTGGGCATTTATTTAGAACGCAGTTAATTTGAGGGGTTTGCCCTAACAACTTGTTTTCATAGYTCTGGCAGCAGAGAGAAGGTGACAGAAGCATCCACAAAGAGAGAGCCCCTGCAGGATCCTGACCTCTCCCCAGAGAGAGGGAAAGGCAAACGAACCATGCCCTCCACGCCAGCAATGTTGAAGTACGTGGCTTTCTTGTGACTTGTCTGCTAATCACAGTTGATTTAGGTGACAGTCCTGGCTGAGTGTTTTCAGTTTCAACTCAGCATGTGGTGGTATCACATTTAGTAAACACTGGGTTGAGGCAACAATATTAGGATGAAATGTACTTCACCAGCTGTACCTGTGCACAGGAAAGGTTTTTGCTTTTCTTTTGAGATAAAAAGTTGTTGCTAATGGATTGAGAATGTACACAGCAAACACGTCTGCAGAATAGCAGCTAGCTGTGAGATGTCTTGAGCAAACAAAACCCAAACAGACCTGCAGATCTCTTCCTAAGAGGATGTTTTTATAACCTGTGGTGCTCCTGCAGTGAAGTTGGAGACAAGCATGTTCCTTGCAATAGCATCACGCCAATAACCCAGTATGAAGGAAGGCTTATCTTAGTTTTTAATGTGCCTCTGCAGGAGGACCAAATCTAGCAAGTTGAAGAGTACAGAAGAGCAGGAGCTGGAAAAGATGCAGCAGTTGCAGCAGGAGGTTATGGAGCTGCGGAAGAAGAACGAGGAGTCTCTGAAAGCAGCTATTGCTGGARCAGGTGAGCTCTGCCTGAATTGCAGATTGAAGCTGCACTGGGCTCAGCTGGAGAGCACTGCACAGAGCTGTGCAAGTACCTTTGAAAACAAACATTCCAGAYTTCACAATAAATATTAGGAGCCTTTTAATGTAGATCAGCCCCTGACCTTCCTGGACACAGGTGTGTTTGGGTTATGTAATGTTTTGAAAGGTTAAAGATGAGTTCTCTTAAAATTTACCTCGTTGTTGGAAATAAAATGCTTCTTTTATTTCCACAAATTCTCCCCTACCCCACTGTGAAAGGTTTCCAGTCCTTACATGTTGTTTTTCTTAGGACAACCCCTGAAGAGACCTGTTGGTCAAGTAACAAAGCCAATTGATTTCCACTTCTGCACGGAGAATAGAATTAAACAGAATGTGGAAAGCCAACCTGGGAATGAGTACAAGGAGCTGGATTTTGCAGCAGTACTGAGGAAGCATCCCCCTTCTCCGGTGAGAGCCAGAGTGTTGCCAGCACTCAGCTCACTGATTCTTGCCATCACCTCCCTGCTGCTTGTGCAAGCCTCAGGCTGATGACCCACAGAGGGGTCACCACAGGAGAGGCACATGTTGTGCAAACCTGACTGCAAACTTCCTGTGTGTCTGCATTGCCACAAGAGTGCAAAGAAACCTTGTGGAAAAAGGAGCCCTTTAATGTCAGCTCTTCCAGTCATTCCACTTCATGCTTTAATCTTCTGCTCTATACASTTTCCCAATATAACTTGTGCATGTTCAGACTGTTAACACTTGTGCTTAATGTGAAGTGTTACCTTCTTTGCAGTGAGAGGAAAGGACAGATACTGTGCATCAGTGGGGAAAAGAAATGTCATCAARGCTTCCTGGCCATACTGACTGTACTTTTCTGTCTCTAGGTGCGAATGCCGAAGGGACCCACTGTCCCCAAACCCTTCAATCTGTCCCAGGGAAACAAAAGAAAACTTGAAGAAGCAACAACAGAATACGTGTCCTTTGCTGAGCAGGTAGAAGCATTCCAAAAACGCACACCCCCTCGTTACCATTTGAGGAGCAGGAAATCTGAGGAAGGTGAGTGGTCCTGGCTGTGTCCACAGAGGTGGTGGCAGAGCAAGAGATACTTTGACTGCCCTGAGCAAATGGCCTGTGTCTGTTGCAGGCCTTGCCATTAACTGCTGGTCTCTGTGAATTGAATTTGTAGGCTCAGTTTCAGAAAAGCCAGCGAAGGCTCGGCTCACACACCCCAAAACACCAGTGCTTCGAACAAAGCARCGCTTGAGACCTGTCACCTGCAAAACTGCAGCAGAGTTAGAAGCAGAGGAAATAGAGAAAATTCAACAGTAAGTAAAGACTTACTCTGGTTCTCCAGGGCATGATAGTACCACACTGGAAATATATTTCAGATACCAAAAGATCACTTCTCTGGAATACCCTTTTTGTGTAAAAGAATGAGTAGCATAAACCATTGAGATTCCTTTAGGTTGTTCATAATTCTGTGTCTCTGATTGTAGGGAAGTGAAATACAGACAATTTATTTTGAAGAAAGTGCTCTTAGGAGAGCTGACCTTGGATTGAGTACAGCTTATGATGAGTAAAGCAAACCCAGTATAGCAAAGCAGCCTGCAAGCACTTTAAAACTCTACTGTGGGCAAAGGTTTGGATTTCTAGGAAGAACAATCCATAAGATTTTCCTCATTAATCTTGTTTTGGAGGCAGAGTTGCTCTAGCTGACTGTTTCCATCATTTGTGTGTAGGTACAAGTTCAAAGCACGAGAACTVAATCACAAAATCTTTGAGGGTGGGCCACTGCTGCCCAAGAAACCCCCGGTGAAGGAGCTCACCCAACCCATCGGCTTTCAGCTGGAAATAGAAAAAAGGATTCAAGAGCGCGAGAGTAAGAAGCCGCAGGAGGAAGAGCGCTTCAAATTCCATTCCAGACCATGTCCCACAAAAATCTTGGAGGATGTTGTGGTAAGAAGTTTAATACCCAGGCTTGGGAACTGAACTTCAGGTGGCAAGGAGCTTTAAAATGTTTGTAGCTATGTTGCATTATRTGTTTAATGATCTTGGTAAACAGTGTCTGTCATTAGGTAGGAACCRCAACAAGTACGTCCTGTGCTGTCAGGTTGTTTCTCTGTAACGTTTTCTTGGCACTCAGCCTTGGGTAACTCCTTACTGGCTCTTCTGAACAGGGTGTTCCAGARAAGAAAGCACTTCCTGTTACAGTCCCCAAGTCTCCAGCCTTCACCTTGAAAAGCAGAACCCGCGTGTCTGGCAGAGAAGAAGAAAAGGTAACAGTTGTGAGGARGCTGGAGCCAGGCCCAGGTCCTGCTATGGTGCCTGCTATGCCTCTGGATGTGGGATGCTCTGGGGCTAGAAAACCCTCCCCTCCWTTGAGCAGTTCCTCCAGTTGTCACCTTTGCTTGAAAGGAATGGCACATGCAATTTGTTATTGCTACTCATCTCAGAATTCTCATACAAAATGAAATCATAAATGCAAAGGCACTGATGAATGTTCCTGAAGTGTTGCTACTAAGAAGGAGGAAAGTGAATTGCTTAGATTTCTCTTCCTTCCCTGTTCTGTCATTGAAGGCAGATATTACACATGACCTTTCTTCTCCCTGAGGTGGGGGGCAGGATTCTAAAAGCATCATGTCCTTTTTCCTTTCCCTCTCGTGAAGAGGATATTAAARAATTAGTGTAATCTGGATGAGTGCTAAAACTAAGAATGGTTTCAAAAAAGAAAAAAACTGGTCTGTGGCTCAGGATGCCAGTAAATTGGTACTTCTTAGATGGCTAATTTTTCTGATGTCCACTGTTTGCTTGATTCTGCTCTGCCTCTTATTAAAGGAGCTCATTCAAAGTTMTTTGTAGCTTTGGCAGGAGTTGCASTTTGTACAAAAGTTAAAAATCAGATCCTAATGCTAATATCCCTTTAGGAAAAAGAGGAGGTGGCTGTGACCAAAGCTAATCCTATGCCACATTATGGAGTGCCCTTCAAACCCAAAATGCCAGAGCACAGGCATGTGGAAGTTTGTCCCTTCTCTTTTGATGCCCGGGACAGAGAACGACAAATACAAAAAGAGAAAAAAATTGAAGAACTACAGAAGGAAGAGGTAAGAATTAAAAGCTACCTTAGATTCCACTCCTTCAGTAAAAAGAGTGTGGCAGGATTTGCTGTTGTCTATTAAACTTCCAAGGAAAGGACAAGAAATATTTTGAGTTGTTTGTTGCAGGTGCCAAAGTTCAAAGCGCAGCCTCTGCCTTACTTTGACCAARTTAAACTGCCAGAAAAGAAGGTCAAAACCCCAACCCAGCCTGAGCCSTTTCATCTGCAGGTGGATGAACGAGGAGCTGCCAAGCTCCAGAGCTGGAAACAGCAGGTAGGATGAAAAGGATAATGGGATTGATCAGACTTAAGGCAGCTGGTGGAGTTGTGGTTGACTACAGAAAGTGTCCTGCTTGAATTGAATCAGTAGCTGAGTTKGAGCAAGARTTTYTYCTGTACTTGGCATAAGACTYGTGCTGTGGGTTAATGATTAGTCARTGGGGTTTTTTTATTATTCYTACTTTATTGTAAGTGATGGGGTTTACCACAACTTTATGAATAGCTGTGKGGTGTTTTGTAATCAGTAGCCTTTGTGCAGCTGAATCCCTTTGCTATCTCCAAGAATTTATTGACACGTAAATAATATACTACGTTTCTCATGCAAAGTCTGCAGTGGGCACCTGCAACTTTCTTCAGGCTATTTTTGGCAAAGCAACTGTCAGGCAACAAGTGATACCACTTTTTGCCTTTTAATATAGTTTTCTCTGGAAATGATTTGACTAAGTTAACATGGCTTTTCCAGTTTAGGAAGTGCTGGAGTCTGGGTCATGGGGAGATGGTCTCTTTCTGCCTGGCACTTGTTGTGCTCTCTTCTCTTGCAGCTTGAAGAAGACTTGAAAAGGCAGAAAGAAGCAGCATGTTTTAAAGCTCGTCCCAACACTGTGATGTACCAGGAGCCTTTTGTGCCCAAAAAGGAACATAAGATGCTATCAGGTAGAGTTACAAGTACTTGCTACACAGGCTTGGCTGATAGCTCACAACTGATGCAATAAAGTGATATTTTTTCTGGCTGTTGCCTCTTCTTCATCAGCACAGCCAATAGTGCCTTGCATTTAATCAACTAATTGCCTAACAGCTTGTGTCCCCTGGGAGCAGGGGGATTTCCTCTCCGCCCCCCTGTCCTGCTCCAGCATGGCAGCTGTATTTAGCAGCTCTGCTGCAATTGGCAGATGATTGATGTGTGCCAGCTCAGGATAAGGGTACTGAGAATGTGAGGAGCTCCCTGCAGAGACAGCTGGCATATCTGCAGTGCTGTCACTCTTTTCCTTCCATTTCTAATGAGATGAAGGCATGTATTGCTTGGGTGAGCTGAGATTTGTAGGGTATAAAACCAGCCAAAAACTTGTTTTATACTAACAATTGTGTTCTTGCTCCCTCCCATGAGAACACCTGTGACAGGGTGGCGTCAGCATTAACACTGCTCACGTCTGGGAGTAAARTTTTCTCTTTTCCTGAAGCCTGGAGGTATCTCCTAACCACCCTTGCCAAGGGGAAGCTCTCCAGAGGGAGGCTTCCATTGACACTAGTTATGCTCTGCTTTACCTGACTGTCTTTGAACCAATATTATCTCCTCTATTTCTAAACTTAGAGAGCCTTTCTGGTTCTGTAGTTCCTGAAAGCTTTGAGCTGGCAACAGAAAGAAGAGCAAAAGAACGGCAAGAATTTGAAAAACGATTGGCAGAYGCAGAAGCCTTAAGGGAGAGGTATGAGGAGCAGATCAGGCAGCAACAAGAGGAGCGTGAAAGGGAAGAAGTTGCTAAGCTAAGACAAGAAATGGTAAGTGAGCTGTTTCTCTGAGCAAGGGCTGTAAAGTAACCCAAAGGAATGTGGGAATATCCTTAAGGAGCTAATGTGACTGTTGAGCTCTGTTAAAACTGCCTTTTCAAGGTTCCCTTCTGCAAGCTGACGACTCACTAACTTCCAAATTGGTTAAAAAAACCCAAGCCTACAAAACTATGCAAACAAAGAAGGCAGCTGTGCTGAGATGGCTGAGTTTTGGAGCTGTACACATGTAATTACCAGAGCAGAATGATCTTTGTAAAACCCACAACCCCAACATGTGCTGCGTATTTTTCCCGTATCTCACTGCGGTGCCCAGGGTGKTGTGGTGGTCTGAGGCAAATGCCTGCCTTCACCTCATCCATGGCTCACCTGCAAACTTCAGCTTCATCATGACTGCAACCATTTATTTAATGTAGCCCTTGCTTATATTTATTTTTTTACAGGTTCACAAGGCAAACCCMATACGCAGATACCGCAGCGTAGAAGTGAAGGCCAGTGACCAACCACTGACTATGCCAAAGTCTCCCAACTTCTCAGATAGATTCCGGTGCTGATGAGCATCCACGTGATAACAGGAGGGAAATCCCATCCCTCTCCACTCCCTCAGGAGGAGAGAGGGAGCAGTTGTTTTTTTGCTCAGTCTGAACTCCTACGCTGGGTTCCATTGTTGTACTGAGTAGTTAAACTCCACCTGAGCCCATGGCATCCCAGCAGTGTCTCCTGGCCCTGCTGCTTATCCAGAACCCGTGTTGTCTAGAGGACAAGTTTTAATATTGCAGATATTGTCTACCTAGCTAAATAAAAATTCCTAATCTACTCGCTGTCTCTGGCTAGTGGGCTGAAGCCCTTTCCTGCAGAGTTTTTGGTAAAGACTGACCACGCAGATGTGCACATCTGGCAGCGCTGCCTTTTGTTTGTACACTAAGTGYTATTATCAAATGTCTGTTTTTTAGCCTTTTAGTCTGCATTAAGTTTGAATTGTGTTAAGTGATGTGAAGTTCCTTCAAGCCAGTGTAGTGCAGGTCTGACCTTTCTTGCTGATGTTTAGATGAACACCAATATAAATCTTGCCCACGCTTTAAAGTAGCTCTCTGTGTACATTAGAGCATTAAATCTTCTTGCTGTTTTATACCTGAAGTCCTTCTATTTGGGGAACCTTTTAACTGGCAAGTGACTTGMTGTGAGCTGCTGCCCCAGCTCCTGCCAGTACAGGTCTCTTGGCTACAAAGCCATCAGCATCTCTGGCCAGTTGGGCAGCGAGCAGAACTAAATATAGCCCGAGTGTTCAAATGTATGGAGGACAAAACTGCTGGCATTGTGAAGAGTGGACACATCTAGATTAAAGTTTTAATAATTATTTCTTACCTTAGTATTGTGCTCTGATTTCTTACCTTTGTATCTTGCTGGAACACAAGTGAGCAGGGYTGCTTGCTGCTGTTGTGCTGCTTAGAACAGAGGGGGAGAAAGGGAAATGTAATTTATCCTAACTGGATGAACTTTCTTGTTTGGTGGTTATGGGAAACGTTTGCTTTAATTTCCTCTGAATTTGGATACTGTCGAAGATGTATTCCCAGAGTGCATAGCTTTTTGTTCAGATTTTTGGGTGAAAAAGAGAGTTCARACTTGGTGTTGAACTCCAGCCAAGKGGAGGGTTAGAGGTGCTGTCTCATTCTTGCCAAAGTACATCAAACAATTGCTATTTTACTCCTAGACTGAGAGAGGTAACAGTGGAGAAGGTCTTTAGAGAGCAAAATTCCAAGTATTTATTGTACTCGAGGGATGATGTTTCTGCAGGAATTCTCCTAAAAAGAGTGATGYTCAAGAGATGTCATTGCAGAACAGCTGGGGTCTCTATAGAAGTGTTTCAAAGAGCACCAGCCTCACACTTCAGAGCTGGGATTAAAAGAGGAAAAGCCACCCCCAYTGAAATGCAAAGATTCTTTAAAGAAATTAAAGCTTTTGGACAGCTGGTAACTGAGGAACTGGAGAATGAGAGGCTGGGGGCAGGGGGTTGGCACTAAAGGATGAATGACCCTGTGGCAGTGTGGGTTCTTGGAAATGGTGAGCTCAGACATGGCTCCTTTTTGCTCAAGCTTCAGCTTTTCCTTCCCTACTCTTGAGGATTTTTGTGTAGCTGTGGCAGAGCTTAGCCCAAAAGCTTGACCCAATCACCCAGTTTTTCTGACTTTGCTCATAGYCATGTCACTGAGCTGAGAGCTGCAGGACAGCCAGMAAAACTGCTGTCACTKCTGCTGTGACARTTTGCAGGAGTGGCTGGAGCACAAGGGACATGTCAGCATCCTCTTCTTGAAAACTAAAATCCATGTGGATCTGACCTGTCTTGCCTTAACCCCATTTGTGTCATGGTGGAACTGTTCCCTGTGATCTGCTACCGGCTGGGGACATCACAGAACCTCAGACGTGCTGTCAGGGAGCCCTCACTCTTTCCTCAAGTGCCAGCTCKGGAGAAGGCAGCGTGTGGGCAGCAGGAGCAGCTAATATTTATGATGAGTCAGGAGGAAGCTGGAATGATGATGAGCTGCTGAAGAATGTGGAGGCAAGCAGGATCAGGAGGCTGTGGAGCTGGAGCAGCCACTGATCCCTGAAGGATGAAGTAGCTGGATTTCCCCGATGGCCCTACATGGCCTCTTCTGCCTTGAGGAAGGAAGGGGTTGTGTGCCTGACAGCTTGGCARTATTTTTTCCCCAGTGGTATCATTTGGGTCTAATAAAAGACATTACAACTTCCCCCAGCCATGGCCTCTTATATTCCCCATGCATTGCAAACAGGGGCAGGAGCCTCAGGCAGCTGTGCCTTCGAGGGTCTGGGGCTGTTTGGATGAGCTTGGAGTCACCCACCAGGTTCTCACGGGTTGGGCTGTGGGACCTGGCCTCTTAGTTAGGAGGGAAGTGGTGACATGGTGGGAAGAATGTTCAAGTGTACAGTGTATAAAAATCGTGTCCTGAAGGAGCTGGATTGTGGAGAGGATGGGATTTGGCCCAGGCTTGAGCAGGGAAATGGTGGTAGGTGATTTTTTCCAGTGCTGGGGAGAACTAATTTACAGGACTGGAGCAAGAGAGACTGGGATTTAAGCAAGTGCTCTTCCAACACTTGCCTTTAGAGTCAGGGTAGGCTGAGAAACTGTAAAACCTGTTTTCTGCATCTGTGGATTTTTCAAAAACATTTTTGTATTTCAGTACTCAAAGCCCATCACCTGTATGTCCATGCCTTGAGAACAAGGAGTGGGAGGAGGTGTGAGGGGAGAAGATCTGAGTACAAAATCTCCCTTTCTAGTTGAGCTGTACCAAATCTGTTATCAAAATAAATTTGCTGAACTCAGACTAGAGCTGTTAACGAAAAGGCAGACAATATTTKCTTGGACTTTCATGTTGAGTTGCAAGATACAATTATCTGGTGAAAAAAAATTTATGAATATGCTTGATTATGCTCTCAAATCACAGGTTTGCCTTCTCCCTTTTGTCTCCACTGGGAAACCTTGTTGTCTGCTTGTCCTGGTAAGGACCCCTGGACCTGGGCAGGTCCTGTTGCTGGTGGCCACATGGCTCTGGATGCTCTTTTGATGATGTTGGGATTTTTCCTTGTCTTTCCCCATCACCTTGCTGACACCTGTCATGACACGGTGGTGGAAGCCCTGGGTCCTGATGGAAGCAGTTAAGCTGGACAGCCTGGCYGGTTTGTGTTTCAGCAGCATGGCTGGGATTCAGGTGGGGATGTTGTTCTGCCCTGCCGCTCGATTTAGGCTCCATTTAGCCGGGGTGTAGGGTTTCCCGGGCATGGGCCGGCTTTGGCCCCGCAGAGCCTCCCTTCCCAGGGTAAACGTAAAGGTTAAAGTGTGCTGCCGCAGTTGTGACAACGGCGTCGCCAGGGAACGGCGTGCTTGAGGCGCTGCCAGATAGCCCCAGGACAGGCTGTTTCCCAGCTGCAGCCAGCGTAGGCTCTGGCTTCAGTTCCTGGATGGGAAGGAAAAAAAAACCCAAGCCCACGGTGAGAACCCTGGGTGGAGGCTGGTTTGAAGAACCCCAGGGCACTGTGCTGCTCCCTGGGGTGCGCAGTTTTGGACCGAGGCATCTGAAATCTTGTGTAACTGATACTGCCCTTTAATTCTGCAATTCCTTCTTCCCAAAGGTCTGATTTCAGTTTATTTCTCTCTGCCCACAAATGGATTTTATCTGTGATAGTACCAAACCATGGTCACCCATTGCCTTCGAAGAACCATTTCCATGGCCCCCCAATACCTGTGCCCAGGGCTTTGTGCCCAGACCAGCCTGGCTCCCAGGGAGTGTGTAAGATTGCACACATCCCAGGAAGGCTGGCTGGTGTCCAGGTAGTTGTTCCTGTTTTCCCCGGAGGATTTTATCCTGGTGTTCACCACACCAGCAGCTTTGAGGGGGCTGTAGTGCATAGCTRTGGCTCATGGGCTCTTACCTCATGCCTGGGGAGTGGGTGTGCTCCTTCCACCTGGGGTTTGCCAGGAGGGTGCAGAGCTGAAGGCTGGCGGAGTGGTGGCAGTATGTGCCTGAAGTGACATTGGTGGCCTCCAGGTGTCTGGCAGCCCTTGGCCGGAGGGGAGAGGCAATTCCAAACTGTATGTTGGCGATGACAGTCGATGGGCAGAGTCCCTGCTCTGCTGGCCAGGCACRGTATCTGGCCAGTTATTCCTGACAGTGGCCCTGTGGAGGCTGAGGTGGGGACTCCCACTCATCGCAGGAGCAGGCACAAATGGGTGTCACTGTCCCCAAGAACTCTGGATGCTGGTGACACACCACCCTTTGCTTGTGCACAAGTGTGTCAGCACATCCTGTGGGCACACAGGAGCTGTGTACCTGCTCCTGCATTAACCCTGCTGGCCCTCATCACATTCCAGGTCCTGCTAAGGAATTTGGGAAGGGAGCTGGGTTTGCTGAAACCCTAAATCTGAACTGTGAATGCTGGAGCAGGAGAGCTCCATGGCCACTCAGGAGTTCCCAGCTGAGTCCCACTGAGCAAGTGTTGCTCTTGCATTGAGGTGTTGATGGTGGGTGCCTGAGGCCAGGGCAGGGACAGGTGGGACAGCAGCACCTCAAGGACAGGGGAACAGCTGTGCCCCCATCCTGGCTTGTCGCACTCCCAACGCCACATGTGAGCCACTGGCAAAGTGTGACCCAGGCCATGGCACACAGAGGCTGCTGGCTCACTGGGAGCTGGGATTTGGCAAATGTGGAGCAACAGCACTGCCTGGGCAGTGTTGGTCCTCCTGAGAGATGCTGCAGGTAAATTGAGCACTGCTCTTGGGGGGCTGCTGCTGCTTGTCTTGGTGGCATTGACTCAGCTCCATCACGGATGGCACTGGCCAGGGCAGCCTCCCCACATCCTTGGCTGCTGTAGCCTCCAGCCCTGCCACAGGGGAAGTTTAAGATAAGAAGAAAGCAAAGTRAGGTTTAAGCAGCTGGGTTTGGTGCCTGGCAGGACCTGAGCTTTGCGTGGCTGCAGGAGGGGGCACTGGGAGGCGGGACCASGCTGTCAGCTGGCAGGGGCTGAGGCTGGAGGAGCCCAGGGTAACCTCAGCCTCCCCGAGGGCACCYGGCCAGCCCGGCCCTGGGGAGAGCCCCGCTCCTCCAGTAAACACCAGCCTTTTCAGCCCTGTGCAGTCCCTGAGGTGTGTGCTGGGGTGCAGCACCCACACACCCAGCCCAACCCCACTGGAGCCTCCAGCTCCTCTTTCTTTCCCTCATTCCCAAAACACTTGATTTTGCAGAGAATAAGTCTTTCAGCTGGTTCCCAGGGGAGGCTGCAGCCACTGGCCAGTGCCCAGTTGCCAGCTGCTGTCACCTGGTTCAAGTCCTGATGGCAATGCCTAGAGGTGCCACATCATACCCACAGGGTACAGGATCCTTTGGAGCTGCTCTCCTGAAGGGCCAGTGGGCAGAACTGGCCACAGCTCAGCAGCATAGGGGACCAGCACCATCACCAGCTGCTCCCAGCCACCATCCCCATGGGCTGGCCAGTGGCCACCTTGTGTCAACTGTGGGCACTTTGCAGAGCCTTGGCCACCTGGACCCTGTCCAGCTCAGCCAGGCCACCCCCACGGGATGGTTTTGGGGKGCCACTGTGTCCAGTGCCAGCCCTCCCTGTGGTGCTGTGCTGGAGCAGGAGGCAGGTCTGTCCCTGTCCCCTGCCCCTCGTCTGCGTGTCCCCAGCCCACGGGGGACAGGCGAGAGTGGCGTGTCCTTTGAACGGGCTCCAGCAGCAACAGGTGCTGGGAAAGGCGAAGCGGGCCGGCTCCCGCTGCTGTAAAGGATCCTCCTCTGCCCGCACTAATCCAGCTCCGTTACACCCGGGATAGAAGAGGCTGCTCCCTCCGGCGCTGCCACAGTGCAGATGCTGCCCCCCTGACCACTCGCAGCACCAGGACCCAGGTAAAGGGGTCAGGGGGGTCTCCATGGCTTCTGACTTGGGGCATGGTGGTGGGGGGTCCTGGGGATAGAGGACCCCCAGCCCTGGGAAGAACACCTCCATCCCCGTGGGCTTCCTGTGCTGAGCTGTGGGATGTGAGACTGCCCTGCTACAACTCCTGTTCCAGCAAGACCAGCAAGCAGCTTCCCTTTTACTGGTGTCGTGGTTTAGAAGCAAAACCAACACAACTGGGATGGTTGCTGGTGGGTTTGTTCTGGGGCTGCGCTGTCCTGGGCTCTGGACGGCATCACGGGAGGGTGTTTTRGGACAGGGTGAGGAAAGATGACCGGGCACAGGAGGGCAGCGGAGCCCAGGGCAGAACGGGGATTTGGGGATCAGGTGTGAAGCCCAGTGCAGGTACATGGGCACAAACAGGTCCCCTTGGTGGAGCCGGTTACCCCTGGGCAGGGGGACAAGCAGCGCTGGCAGCTGCTGGGTCCGGGGGTCGGTGTGGYCCCTGAGCAGAGGGGATTTACCTGCACGGCCAGAACTGCAGTGTGGTTTGCAGGCAGCAGCGGTGGGGCCGTGCCGGGAATGCTCTCCTGTTCCCCACTGCGAGCCCGGGGCCAGAGCCGCTGCTGTCTCCTGCCCCGGCACGGTGGGATGTGGCCTTAAATTGTCGCCTGGCCGCGCCGCGCTGGCTGTTCRCACGTCGGAGGCCCCCGGCACCCGGTGACAGGTGCCGGGTCAGGCCATCGATCAGTCACCGCGGGCAGATAGCGGGGCACAATGGGACGGGGCCGGGACTGGGGGCCACGTGGGGTCCCTGGCTCGGTGCCACCAGCCCGGGAGCCGCCGGCGGGGGCACAGGTCCCGGCTGGATGGCAGCAGCTCATCCCTGCAGGAGCAGAGCCTCTGCCCGAGTCCTGCCGTGCACCCTGCAGGGTATCGGCTCCGGGGAGCCCTCAGCTGCTGCTTTCTCTCCCGCAGGAGCAYCGCCGAACCGGGAGCACCGCAGGGCAGCCGCCTCCTGCCCGGAGATCCCCATGGAGCAGGGAGGTGGCGTGGATGGTGCTGACACCGGCGGGGCTGGTGGCACCGCCCCCGCTGAAGCAGAGGCCAGCACAGCACCTGCAGCCCCCCAGCCCCAAGGGGGGACGGTGCCGGCTGATGCCGTGACACAGGATGAGCCTGGGCAGGAGAAGGCTGCAGGAGTGGCTGGAGGAGGGAAGACAGAGCTGGAGACAGCTCTGACTGCTCCAGAGCTCCAGGATGGATGGGAAATTGTTCCAGGAGAGGAGGCTTTGGCTGTGCAGCATGATGGAGGACAGGCAGCATCCATCGGGGAGAAGGTGCCAGCTGCCAGCAAGGCCCAGGGTGTAGGGAAGGATGGGAAAGATAAACCTGAGAAGAAGAAAGCTCCGGCTGCAGGAGAGCTCAAAGGAGGAAAGGCTTCAGCTGCTGTAAAAGCTGAGGATGGAGGGAAGGATGAGCCCAGGGAGGAGAAGCCTCCAGCTGAGGGAGAGCCTGAAAAAGGGAAGGATGAGCCCAGGGAGGAGAAGCCTCCAGCTGAGGGAGAGCCTGAAAAAGGGAAGGATGAGCCCAGGGAGGAGAAGCCTCCAGCTGAGGGAGAGCCTGAAAAAGGGAAGGATGAGCCCAGGGAGGAGAAGCCTCCAGCTGAGGGAGAACCTGAAAAAGGGAAAGACGAGCCCAGGAAGGAGAAGGGCCTGGCTGTAATTGAGGCTCAGGATGGAGGAAAGGATGAACCCAAGAAGGAGCAAGCCCCTGGTGAGTCGGGGGCTGAGAGTGGTGGGAAAGCAGAGCTCATGGAGGAGAAGACTCCAGCCACAGCAAACTCTGAAGGAGGGAAGGCAAAACCTATGGAGGAAACAGCCTTGGCTGCAGCTCAGACTCAGGATGGAGGCAACGGAGAGCCTGCAAAGGAGGAAACCACAATGGTTGCAGAAGAGAAAGTCCCAACCACTGCTAAAGCTCTGGATGAAGGGAAGCAAACTGCAAAGGCAGAGCAAGCCCCAGCTGATACCAAACCTGCAAAGGAGAAAACCACGGCTGCTGCAAAGGAGAAAACCAYGGCTRCTGCAAAGGAGAAAACCACGGCTGCTRCAAAGGAGAAAACCACGGCTGCTGCAAAGGAGAAGGCTCCAGCAGTGGCAAAGGAGAAGACTCCGGCTGCTCCAAAGGCTCCAAGTGGGGACAATAAAGTGGTAAAGGCAGAAAAAGCTCCAGCAGTTAAAAAGGCTACAGATGGAGGCAAAGAAGAGCCTATGAAGGAGAAGGCCCCAGCTCCTGTGAAGGAGAAGGCCCCAGCTCCAGTGAAGGAGAAGGCCCCAGCTCCAGTGAAGGAGAAAGCCATAACTCCTGAGAAGGAAAAAGCCCTAGATCCTACCAAGGCTCAGGATGGAGAGAAGGCAGCAGCAAAGGCAGAGAAAACCCCAGCTGCAAAAATGGCTCCAGGTGGAGGCAAAAAAGAGCCTGCAAAGGAGAAAGCCCCAGCAGCTGCAAAGGTGCAGGATGGGGAGAAGAAAACTGCAAAGGTGGAAAAATCCACAGTAGCATCAAAGGCTGGGGATGGAGGGAAAGATCCTGCAAAGGAGAAGATCCCGGTGGCTGCGAAGGCTCAGGATGGAGGGAAGAAAGCTGCAGAGGTGGAGCCTCCTACACCTGGAGCAGAGGCTGGGGATGGGGCTGCAGAGCCCACGGAGGCAGCGGCCATGGCTGCTGTGAAGGCTCAGGGTGAAGGGGAGGACATGTCCAAGGASACAGAGGGACAGCCACCATCGGTGCCCGAGGCCCCGCGCCCGGTGCTGCTGCAGAGCCTGAGCTGCCCGGCTGCCTGCCACAGGTACCCACTGCCCCCTGGGATGGGGGGACTCCCCTTGCTGCTCCTGGGACCCTCCAGGCACAGGTGGGTGCTGGGCTCAGGAGCTGCTGGCTGAGCTCTGCTCATCTCCTGCTCCTGCTTCCAGGGGGGAGCAGCCCTGGGCAGAGGTGCCAGAGATGGAGACAATAGAAGAGGAGACCACGATGGTGGAGCCAAAAGAGGGTCCGACAGAGCCTGGCCCTGGCCCACCAGCCCTGGAGGACCTGCAGCCCTCGGAGCCCCCCRGCACCCCACAGGAGAGGACATTGCCGAGTGCCACAGGGCAGCYCCCAGATCCTGCTGGGGTTGCAGAACAGCCTGGACCTGGGGAGCAACCAWCCTTGACGGAGGCAAAGCCACCTCCCAGCCCCTACCTCACCTCTGATTTTGGGAAGGAAGATCCTTTTGAGATATTGGGTAAGGCCATGAGGTACCTGCCTTTTCCTTACCCTGCTGARCCCTCTGTGGAATGACAGCCTGGGAACCCCATGGCCCTGCCTGCTGCCCATAGTGCCCTCTGTACTGCCAGCTCCTGTCCTTGGCTTGGCACCTGTCTGGTGGCCTTCCAGCTCCCCTTTCACTGTAAACATGGCTAAATACATCGCGTCCCCTCCCGGCCTGCTCTGGCCACGCTGACTGTGAGGAAGAGGAGCCTGGGGAGTGACAGTGCCTGTCTGTCTGGTAGCAGGGGACAGTGTGTCCTCATATCCTGCACCATTGTCCTTGTGGGGATTGCAGGACTTGGGGGCAATGGGTGCTTGTGGGGATTCCTGTGAGTCTGGCTCCTGCCCTCACCAGGGAAAGGGTGCCCTGTGAGTGGGATCTGTCCTGGGAGGGTGAGCAGGAGGTAGTGGCATGGTGGGGAGTTGGTCTGGAAAGGGTAAAATGTGACATGTGGGATAGTGGGGGTGGCTGTCATGAAGCAAGAGGGGTGCTGTGTGTTGGGATGAGTGCCGTGGAACAGAGTGGGTCCCATGGAGAGGGATGGGTGCCATGCARCAGGGCAGTGCTCTGGGCAGTAGTGAGGGACATTTCAGGGGTTTCTGCATCGCCCAGTGCAGCCCCAGGCAGGAGCCCCTGACTCACAGCCCAGCACTCAGTACCTGGCCACATCCTGCACTCACCAGCTTGGCTGGGTGCTTGCCTTCACCCCACACCAGGGCATCCTGGGATGCCCAGAAGTTGGGGGTCCCCTGGGGAGCAGATTCCCTTCTCATCTCATCCTTTCTCTCTGGCAGATGATGTCCCTCCGCCRCCAGCGCCCTTCGCACACCGCACTGTCACCCTGCGCTCCGCCAGTGTCAGCTCCCAGTTCAGCCTCAACTCCAAGGATATCCTGGGGGGGTAAGGAAGGGCCCTGAGCTGCCCTTCAGCCTTAGGCACTGGCTTTGGGTTGGTGGCACTCCTCTGCTTGTGATGGGTGGGTGCCGTGGGCAGGGTGGGTACCTCAGAGAGTGCAGGGAGCACCACAGGGCAGTGTGAGGATCCCCAGCAGCCTGGGTGGCTGATGGCGTGGGCACCTCTCCCTCTCTCCCTCCCTCTCTCCCCAGGGGCAAGTTTGGTGAAGTTCACACRTGCACAGAGAAGGAGACAGGGCTCAAGCTGGCAGCCAAAGTGATCCGGAAGCAGGGAGCCAAGGACAAGGTGTGAACGATGCAGGGGTGGCAGTGCTATGCTCTGTGTGCCCCTGGTGAGGGGACACAGCCTGTCCCAGTGGCACAGCCTGGGCTGACACCCCACGCCATCCTGGGGCTCCCTCCACAGGAGATGGTGCTGCTGGAGATCGATGTGATGAACCAGCTGAACCACCACAACCTCATCCAGCTCTATGATGCCATCGAAACGCCCCGGGAGATCATCCTCTTCATGGAATTGTGAGTGCCTGTGCCTACCTTGGGGTGCTCTGACCCCAATGTGTAGCATGCTCAGCACCTCCATGGTGGGGCTGGGCCAGGGGCTCTGCAGGAGGATAGCTCAGGGCASGGAGCCCCCCCAAGTGACCCCGTGGTCCATCCCCATGCAGTGTGGAGGGTGGTGAGCTCTTCGAGCGGATCATYGACGATGACTACCACCTGACGGAGGTGGACTGCATGGTGTTTGTCCGGCAGATCTGCGAGGGCATCCGCTTCATGCACCACATGTGCGTCCTCCACCTCGACCTCAAGGTGCGGGGCTGGGGGGTGGCAACGRCAGGGCCAGGGGTGGCAGCAGGACACTGGCTAGCTGTGGGAGGGATGATGTGGGTCAGCATTGCTCTGGTGTAGGTCAACAATGGGGCAATGGTCACTCTGTCCCCACAGCCTGAGAATATCCTCTGTGTTTCTGCCACYGGGCACATGGTGAAGATCATCGACTTTGGGCTGGCTCGAAGGTGAGCTTTTTGTCCTCAGCTCTGTTCCTCCTCCCTGTTCCCCTTCCACCCTTCATCTCTGTGTGCCCTTTGGGTACCAGGAGCCCCAGGACCTGCTCTGGGCCATTGCTTTGGCCATGCCTCTCCCTGAGTAGCTGGAGAGGGAAGCTTCGACAGAGAGAGGAGCAGTGGTTTGGGGGAGCAGCCTCTCCCCCCCTTTTGCTGACTTGCCCCCTTGGCTGCAGGTACAATCCTGACGAGAAGCTGAAGGTGAATTTTGGCACTCCTGAATTCCTCTCCCCTGAGGTGGTCAACTATGAGCAGGTCTCCTACTCCACGGACATGTGGAGCATGGGCGTCATCACCTACATGCTGTACGTCAGGGCTGGTAGGGGTCTGCTAGTGCTGTGCTGGGAGCTGTGGTGCTGGGGCACAGCTCCCCTGGGTGCAGAGCTGGGGCACAGCTCCCCTGGGTGCAGAGCTGGG